TTATTTATTCATGAGAGACAGAGAGAGAGAGAGAGAGAGGCAGAGACACAGGCAGAGGGAGAAGCAGGCTCCATGCAGGGAGCTGGATGTGGGACTTGATCCTGGGTCTCCAGGATCAGGCCCCTGGGCCAACCGCTGAGCCACCCGGGCTGCCCTCCATTGAATTCTTTAGCCTGAAATTAATGTACAGGCCAGATAGAAGGTAAAGGTAACATGTCTTTTCTTCACATCATTATAATAAATTATTCCAGCATTAGTTTTGAGTAAACTGTGTTTCTCTCTCACAGCAGATTCTGACTTCTTCAGATACGCTAAGATCTCCGGGTGGCACTGAGAGGTGCCTCCCAGAAGGCCCTCAGGAATGAAGAACTCAGCCCCCAGCTGCTAGAAGACAGCCTCAGCTTAGGGGAGTGCCTCCCCTAACGAAAATTACTTCACCAAGGTCCTAGCACCTGCCACAGCAGTTTGCATCTAAGGAGTTATCAGCATGAAGTAGAAAGGCCCAGACACTTTGCCCCAGTGTGGACAATTCTGAAGGACCATCCAGCCCCTGTGTGACTACAAGCTGGCTGAGGCTGTTGTTGGGCCCGTATCACAGATTGACTTCTCTGCTCAGTCCTGCTTCCTTTCCTTCACTTTTACAGACATTGATCCCAAAATTATTTCCTAACAAGCATCCTGCATGCTAATCTCTAGAGACTGTTGCAAGCTTTTGTTTTATTTATTTATTGAATTTAGCACCATATATTTTGATGTTGGTGGTTTTAGAATCCAGGGGGCTTTTCTCATTCTTGGTTGTCATTATCTGAATCCCTAAACGTATGATGCTATGTGGTAAACAAAAAAACATAACATGAAAATGTTAACTAATGAATAAGAAATGAGACCCCGCTCAAACATCATCTTTCCTTCAAACTAGCAGCTTTCCTTTCCTCAACTACAATGCAAAACAATGCCAAGTACAGGTGCAATGATAATTTATTACAAAGTGACATTTAAAATCTTGCAAAAGAAGCAGAATTTTATGATGTTGAAAGAAGTGATATTAGAACACCGTTTAAGTCACCCAAAAAGGGGCACTTGGGTGGCTCAGTGATTGAGCGTCTGCCTTTGGCTCAGGGCGTGATCCCGGGGTCCTGGGATTGAGTCCCACGTCGGGCTCCCTGCATGGAGCCTGCTTCTCCCTCTGCCTGTGTCTCTGCCTCTCTCTCACTCTGTGTCTCTCATGAATAAATAAATAAATAAATCTTAAAAGAAAAAAAGAAGTAAAAATCCTCAGTGAAATACTAGCAAACTAAATTTAGCAGCATATTAAAAGATTATACGTCATGACCAACTAAGATTTATCCCAGGAACCTGAGAGCCGTTTTCAACATAGGCAAATCAGCCAGTGTTCCACTCTACATTAATAAAAGGAAAAGGGCAGCCCAGGTGGCTCAGTGGTTTAGCGCCTGCCTTTGGCCCAGGGCATGATCCTGGAGTCCTGGCATCAAGTCCCATGTCAGGGTCCCTGCATGGAGCCTGCTTCTCCCTCTGCCTGTGTCTCTGCCTCTCTCTCTTGGTCTCTCATGAATAAATAAATAAAATCTTAAAAAAAAAGAAGGAAAAAATATATGGTCATTTAAAAAAATATTTTATTTATTCATGAGAGACAGAGTGAGAGAGAGGCAGAGACACAGGCAGAGGAAGAAGTAGGCTCCATGCATGGAGCCTAATGTGAGCCTTGATCCCAAGACCCCGGGATCACGCCCTGAGCCAAAGGCAAACACTGAACCACTGAGCCACCCGGGGCGCCCCAATAGATGGTCCTCTTAATGCAGAAAAGGCATTTGGCAAAATCTAATACCATTGCATGATTAAAATACTGCACAGGCTAGGAACAGAAGGGACCTTTCTCAAAGAGCAGTTATAGAAAACGCAGAGCTAACATCATACTTAATGGTGAAAGACTGCGAGCTTTCCCTGTAAGATCAGGAACAAGACAAATACACTTGCTTTTACCACTTTCATTTATTTACATTATACTGGAAGTTCTAGCCTGAGCAATTAGATTTAAAAAAAAAAAAAAAAGGAGTAACTACCCACACTGCAAACCTCCATCTGCAGATGACACAAATCTGTGTATAGTTAGCCTTAAGGAATACACACACACAATCAGAGCTAATAAATGAGTTCAGGAAAGTAGCAGCATCATTCGTAACAGCCCCAACGTGGAAAGAACCCAAATGCCCATTAACTGATGAACAAAGAAACACAATATGGCCTAGCCGTACCGCGGAATGAGGGGAGCACAAGGAGGGGAGCACGGCTGTGGCTGTGCGCTCCAACATGGACAAATCTTGAAAACCTGCCGAATAAAAGAAGGCAGGCACCGAACATCACATGTTGTATGATAAGTGTCTATTTAGATAAGTGTCCGGAATCAGCAAATCAATGGAGAGGAAGTAGATTAGTGGTTGCCAGGCAACGGAAGGGGAAAAATTGGAATGGAGGTTTCTTTTTGGGCTCCTGGAAATATCCTGCAATTAGATGAATGGTGATAGTTGTACAATGTTATGAATACAGTACAAACCCCTGAATTATAGACTTTACAACGACTCAACAGGTGAGTTTTATGTTACCTGAATTTTGTCTCAACAAGACATTTTTTAAAAAATAGAGAATGGCCTTTAAATATCAAATGATTGGCGCCCCTGAGTGGCTCAGTGGGTAAAGAGTCTGCTTTTGGCTCAGGTCATGATTCCAGGGTCCTGGGATCAAGCCCCACATCGGGCTCCCTGCTCAGTGGGGAGTCTGCTTCTTTCTCTCCTTGCTTGTGCTCTCTCTCAAATAAAATCTTTAAAAATATATATCAAATGGTTGAGGACCCCTAAGGAAAACGGATGAAATTTATGGGCTTTTAATATTTTGATTTTTCAAAAAATGATCCTTGCACTGAGAGGGCCAAAATTGAAGTGACAGGCGTCCTATCTATGTAATCATACAATTTTGTGATTTAAAGTAAAAAAAAAAAAAAAAAAGAAGAAGAATGATTCATTCTTCTTGGGTCTAAAACTCAGTGTTTGACTGCAGCTGTCCAAAATTTAGAAGAATCTGAAAATTAGAAGATGGCCCAGCTCATCTTCTCTGGCCATACCTTAGCTAGGGATGGGCCAGCCTTGCATACTGGCCATGATGGCTCTGGACTAATCTGTGGGTCACACCTTCTGGAAGATAGAGACTCTGCATGCGGCAGAAGTACCCCCTCAGAGGAAAGGTCCTCCCTCTCACCAACACCCCCGTCGCTCCTCTCTCCACTGTCATCCAACCTAAGAAGTAGCCCGGGCCGCCCTCCCCGTGCCGCGGCCTCCCAGCTCCTGCTGCCCAGGTGCAGACACAGAGCGTCCGTCCTGCCACCTTCCCTTCCTGCCTCCCTCTCTTCCCAATTCTGTCCTGAAGAAGTTTCAGAGAACATCCTTGGCGCCCTGTTATCTGCTCTGGGAAGTCTAAAGTTCAGGGCTTGGGACAATTAAGCTCAAGGCCTCTCACCAAGCCAGAGATGAATGACCCAGGGAGCAAGTTGAGGCAGCTGAGTCAGCCTGAGTCTGTCGGGGTGGGGCCAAGGCGAGCCATCCTTGCTGGGTCAATGCCCTTGATTTCCTTAGGGTGCCCTCCCCCTGACCTTGGGAGGTATCCAGGACTCCTGGAGCACTAGACTGTCCTGTCCTGAGACTTCTACTTTGGGAGGAGGGTAGAAGAGGGACAGAACCCCGCCCGACCCTTGGGAGACATATTAGGTATCTGGGGACAGGAATGAGTGTCCCCTTGGTACCACACCAGTAACTGCTTCCTCTGGTTTTAGCTCCTTGCTAGCCCACAATCCACTCTCTTGACCCTCTCAAGGGCCCTTTTCTTATTCTCAAAACTCTTACCTGAGTCTCAGCAGAGCTCCTAACCTGGGTCCCTTTTGCCTCTCTCCACACTCTTCGTGGCTTTCTAGCCAAGCTGGCGTCAGAACCTCTCCAAGTCTGTTTCTTTACCTGTAAAATGGGAATAAAGACAGTACTGATGTCCCAAGAGCAGTTGTAGGGTTTCCACGAGATAAGGAATACGCTGCATTTTCTACAGCACTGGGGGCACCCAAAATGCTCAACAAACATTTGCTACTGCTGTTAAGCTTTCACTAGTTCATCAGTCATGTGGCCTCTTCTAAAGAGCACTCTGGGTATCGGGCCCTGTGCCAGGAACCCAGGGGTACTGTGCTTGGGCTCAATGGCTTTGAATCTACTTGGGGAGAGAAGAGAAATCACAAACAGGTAATTTGGCACAGCTTTTCAGAATCTGTCCAAATGCTCTGAAATCTCACTCAGCAACTCTGCCCTTTACATACACCTGCAGCTTTGCTACATCCTTGGCTGCTGTTGGGCAGGATAAGCCCATCATCGAGATGAGGAGGGCTGAGATTTGAGAAACCCGCATGGGCCTCGTCTGGCTTTTCCAGCTAGTTCTCCCCTCTGCATGCCAGACCCACGGTGCCAATGCCACCGGGGATTTGGCATTGACTCAGCCAGGTTCTGGGAGACCGGGTTTGAGGGCTGGTGCGACTGTAGGGAGGATAGACAACTTCATTCTACCACCACCCTAGATGATTCCTTAGAGGGGATGTAGGATGAGGGCTGGCAGGTGGCAAAGGGTGGCCAAAGGCACTTGTGGAGGGAGGAGGAAGGACCACACCTCGGGAGAGGGAGGAGTCAGGAACCAGGGAACTCAGCCAGCCAAGGGGATCAAATTCCTCTGGGGTGAACTCTGAGACAGTCTCTAGAGACCTGTGGGCAGGCGAAGTTTGAGAAAAGAGAGCCAGAGGGGAAGATCCTGCCTTTGCACCTACACGTGGCCCAGGTGTTGCTCTGACCAAGGCCAGCAGGCAGCAGGACCAGCGGGAGCCTCCCTCGGGGCCCTCACCTGCCTGCCCCTCCTTGCCCCTCAGTGCTTGCTGGGAAACCAGAGAGGGAGAGAAGACCATGGAGCCAGACAGGACTCAGATAAAGCTTGACCCCAGGTGAGTGAGGGCGGCAGGCCCAGAGCCAGGAGCCGGTTGCTAAGCAGGGGCCCCTAATACGCTGGCCGGTCCCTATCTCCTCGCCGGGGCCTCTGATTCTCAGGACACAGAATGAGGCCGACTCAGAGTGGTCTGGCTGTCCTTGAGGTCCTGCGGGCCGGAGTGTGATCCTTCAGAGCCTTGGCTTTGCATCTGAAGTGGGAAGAGGAAAGCTCCAGAGGCAGGGGTGGTGTGGGGCAGGCACAGAGCCCCGGGCAGCAGGGGACTCAACCCTGGTGCTAAGGGACCACTCTTCCTCTGGGGCCCTGCTCTTTCTGGTCAGTCCCTGAACTGCTGCCCCAGTGGAAGTGGAGAGAACGGACTGTGGACTCTTTGGGCACCAAAGCCAGGCCTGTCATAGCCTGGGTGGCACCTGCCTTACACACTAGCCTGAGCTAATTTGCTATTTCCTCAAGAATTGGGGCGTCGAGGGGAAATGTACAAACACCCTGAACTCAGGAGGCTTTGAGGGAGTGTCAAATAATTGGTGTTCCTTCCAGTACTCCCCCACGGCCCCCTGCCCATGTCCCCAAGTCCCCATATTCTGAGTGTAGGCTGGTGTCTCTACAGGTACACAGCAGATCTTCTGGAATTGCTGACAACCAATTACAGCATCCCCTCCGCCTGCTTCTCTCACGCTCCCACTGCAGCCCAGCTTCTGAGGGGTGAGTCGGGGGCCCTCCCCAGAGGGAACTGAGAGATGAGCATCCCAGCAGGAAGCCAGGACAGTGGGGTGAAGCTGAGGAGAGGTGGTCCTGAGCTGGCCAGCCTGGACAGGGTCTATCTCTCATGGTTGAGGCCTCAGAAAGAGGACCATGGCAACCTAGCCAGGGAGACAAAGCTGCGTGCTGGACCTCCCATGAATCCCAGCCTCAAGGCTCATTCACGTTGCAGACACTGGCCTGGAGCATTTTTCAAAATCCAGAGCCATCCAGAGGATTCAAGATGGTGTCCATATGATCCAAGCCCCAAAGAATCCCCTTGGGGTCTGCATATAGCCTCTTCGGGAAAGTGTCCACATCATTCTAGAGAGGTGGTCTTTTTTTTTTTAAAGATTTTATTTATTTATTCATGAGAGACACATACAGAGAGAGGCAGAGACACAGGCAGAGGGAGAAGCAGGCTCCATGCAGGGAGCCTGATGTGGGACTGGTTCCCAGGTCTCCAGGATCACGCCCTGGGCTGAAGGAGGCACTAAACCACTGAGCCACCCAGGCTGCCCTAGAGAGGTGGTCATTATGAATAATGTTCTTAAAACAGGTGAACCTGGAGGCACCTGGGTGGCTCAGTCGGTTAAACATCTGCCTTTGGCTCATGCCATGACCTCGGGGTCCTGGATGGAGCCCGGGCATCAGGCTCCCTCCTCAGCGAGGAGCCGGCTTCTCCCTCTCCCTCTGCTCCTGCCCCCTGCTCATGCTCTCTGCTTTCAAATCAATCAATCAATCAATAAAATCTTTTTAAAAAATTAGGCGAACCTGTAAAAGTATTCTGACAGTGTTGGCCAACTAGATCTTATACTGAATTGCTTCTGAAAGTGAAAAGCAGAAGATGGGACCCAGTTTATTCCCTGGCCACCTATATGACAACCAAATGACCCGAGCATCTTCACAACTGTGGCTCCCATCTAGATTTCATTTTGTTTTCCTACTGCGTGATTAAGCAACTCTTAGACGTTGATGAATGGGAGTCTATGTCTCTATGGTATCTTTTTTTTTTTATCTTTTTTTTTTTTTTAAGAATTCATTTATTTATTTGAGAGAGAGTGGGGAGCCTGATGCGGGGCTGGATCCCAGGACCCTGAGATCATGACCTGAGCCAGAGGCAGATGCTTAACTGACTGAGCCACCCAGGCATCCCCTCTACGGTATCTTTAATGTTTTTTCCCAACCTCCTTCCTGATGTTGTCACCTCAGTGAGCAAGCAGACTTTCTGAAACAGGATGTGGTCGGTCGAATCAGGAGGCAGGCACGGGCATGTGCTTGGACAACATTCAGTCTGGTTTCAGAGTGAATGACAACTGCCAGTGTCCGGAGAGGCTTTGCAGCTGTTCGAGGATTTGTGCCAGTAGGTAGCTGCTATATCCAGCTCTAGGAACCTCTTGCTTGGAGCGCAGCTTGTGGTGCAAGTGTTCCCTTGCATTAGCTGTTGTCAACCAGAAGTAAATTTGTCCCCCAAGGAATTTCTGGCAACGGCTAGAGACCGTTTCAGTTGTCACAACTAGAGGGTGCCATTGGCATCTAGTGGGGAGAGGCCCTGGATGCCGCCATGAGTACAATGGAAAGCACCCCCCTACACCCCAACCATAAGGAGTTACCTCGGCCAACGTGTCCATAGCGCTTTTTAGCCCGAGAAACCCTGCCTTACGCAGTAAACATGGATGTCACATTGCTTTGCTACAGATCGTGCAAATAGAAGCACCAGGGATGTTCAGGGCAGGGAGACCACTGTGGGTCTGATAGCATAGCGAGCTGGGGAAGCAGGGGACAACCTGGAGGCCTGTCCAGGTGAGGTGCGGCCTGATGCGCGTCTGGCAGAGGGGCTGTACTTTATCCTGTAGACGGAGGGAGCCGCTGAGGGCCCTGAGATTGGGAGCGGCCGGACGGTGCTTCGAAATATTAATCAGTAAACAGGGCGGACATCGGGAAGAAGGTCCGTGAGAGGCAGGGGTATACACTGGAGGTTGTCGCCCCAGCCTGGCAGGAGGAACAAGAGTCTGAGCCGGAACAGTGTCAGGGAAAGGGAGGGAAGGTCGGAGGACACAGGCAAGCCAAAGAAAAGGCAGGCCATCTGGGAAATAGCCAGATGGGGTGAGAGCGGGAAGGGGAGGCTGTAAGCAGCACCCTGGGGATGTGGGCTGGGCGAGGGCAGTGGCGATGCCCCTGAGAAACAGGAAAGCCAGGAAGATCTGAGGCTTTTGCCTGAGATCTGGCAAGACTAACCGCTGCACCTTAAATCAGATGCCATTTAAGGAGGAGCTATGGGGGGGGGGGGGGGGAACTCCTGAACCTGTTCCTGAAATCCCTGTGATATGATTGCAATTACAATCCCTACAGGATTTTTTAAAAAATGGACTCATCCAAACATTTCTGTGAAAGAGTGAAGTGCCAAGAAAAAGCCAAGACAGCTTTGGAAAAGTGTAAGGAGGGTACCTGGCCCACCAGGGATTAAGATTTATAATAAGACTAAGCAACAAGCAGTAAGTGCAAGGGGCCTAACAAGTAGATCAATGGAAAAGAACAGAGTGCCTGGAAATAGAGCCCACTCAGGACGCACCCTGTGAAGGGATGCCACACACACTAGAGGGCAGAACAGACACTTTTGAAGCGATCTGGACAATTTGTGCCTATGATGAATAAACCAATGTAAAAATAGCTCCAATGGCAGCTTTAATACGGGCAGCGAAAACACCTAAATGTAAAATGCAAATGTTTTTACAAAAGAAAATACAGAAAGATATCTTTATGATTGGGAGTAGAGAAAATGTCTTAAATAAAACGCAAGGAAGCACAAATGATTGTGGAGATTGACTCCGTAAGCAAACAAACTTCTATACAGTTAAAAACACTAGAAACAATGTTAAAATCCAAACCACAGACTGGGAGAAGGTATTTTCAAGTCTAACTAACAAGGGATGAGTAGACAGTGTAAGAGAAATCACCCAATGCAAAGTGTGTAAAATATGGGAACAGACTCTTCAAGCAGAAGAAACCCAAATGACCAATATATGTACAAAAAGATATTCTAGGGGCACCCGGGTGGCTCAGCGGTTGAGCGTCTGCCTTTGGCCCAGGGTGTGACTCTGGTCCCGGGATCGAGTCCCAGGTCGGGCTCCTCGCAGGGAGCCTGCTTCTCCCTCTGCCTGTGTCTCGGCCTCTCTCTGTGTCTCTCATGAACAGATAAATAGAATATTAAAAATAATACTCTATTTGGTTAGGAATTAGGGAGCCGTGCATGAAACAATATTTCACTATGGTGAATCTGAGGTGACAGTGAGGGCTCGCGGACCACTGGTGGAAGTATAAGTGGGAGAGCCACGCGGAGAGTGATCAGCTCTCTGCAGCACTAGAGTCTCATCTCCTCCAGCTCAGAAAATCTAATTTTAAGTGTCCACATAAAAGAACTCTCCCATATGTGCTAAGGAGAAACGTCCAAGAATACTTATTGAAGCATTTGTTTGTCATAATGAAAATAGTATCATTATAATGATCATAACGAATATCAGAATATAATGAAAATAATATCATGAAAACAATGTTGGGTGGAAAAAGCATTTTGCAGAATGATGCCATCTAAGCAGAATTTTTAAAGAAGGTTTTATTTATTTACTTGAGAGACAGAGAGCGGAGTGAGAGAGAGAGGGACAGAGAGCATGAGTGGAGAGAGGAGCAGAGGGGGAAGGAGAAGCAGGATCCCCGAGGAGCAGGGAGCCAGACCTGGGGCTCCATCCCAGGGCTCCACCCCAAAACCCCGGGATCCTGACCTGAGCCTCCGGCAGACTCTTAACCAATGGGGCCACCTAGGTGCCCCCATTTATGTAGATTTTGTAAAATGCCAAGCAATATAGAATGTTGAGTATGTACCTATGTTGTGAAAATTAAAACATAAGCAAAGAAGATACACACCACCTTCAGAACAGTAGTTCGCTCTGGGAGGTGAAGTAGGGAAGGGAAAATGATCCAGGAGGTATGTACGAGGGCCCTCAAATATATCTGTAATGTTTTATTTTTCTAAAAATAATTGTTGTAGCAAAATTGGCAACATTGGAACACTCTTTAAAATGGGTCACGGCGGGATGCTTGGGGGGCTCAGTGGTTGAGCGTCTGCCTCGGCTTAGGACCTGATCCCGGAGTTCCAGGATCGAGTCCTGCTGCTTTGGGCTCCCGAAGTATTGGGCTCCTGCATGGAGCCTGCTTCTCCTCCTTCTGCCTAGGTCTCTGTCTCTCAAGAGTAAAAAAAACCTTTAAAAATAAAATAAAATGGGTCATGGGCATATTCCCCCATGCTCTATTATTCTTTTTGAAATTTTTGTAACTTAAAAAATAATTAGAAATAATCATTTTTGACAGGCTGTGATGAAATGCTAGTTTAAAATGTACACAATTTTATAGTATAATTGCAGTAATACAATAGGTATGCCCTTTAACCAGGGTGGTTTTTTTTTTAAGTTACTTTTTATTGAACAAATACTACATGCCAAGTGCTGTGCTAAGAGGTTAATGAGAAGATGAATAACCTGTCCAAGGTCAACAGCAAACAGCAAGTGGGACTTTAATTTGAACTCAGGCGTCTCTGACTCCAGAGCCTATGCCCTTCACTCCCATGAGGACAAATGTGCAAAAATGAAAATAACTTTTGGTTAGGAACTGGCTGGAATTATGGGTGATAATCTTTCAAAATTGTAATGTTCTAATATTGTTTTCATTGTTTTAAAAAAAGTAATCTTTGCTATTTCTGACACAGTGGGAAATTTGCTAGTTGCTGAAGGTGTAATTGAATTCAAAATGGTCAGTTAGACAAGCATTTCCCAAAGTGTATCCCTCGGGATACTAACCTCAAGTAGTGCTTCATGAACACAGCATCAGTTTTGTAAAAGCTGTATTCTATAACTTCCACTAGGAAATTACAGTGTAAATCAGATTAAAAACTTGAGCATGGGAAGAAACAGGTTTAATTTTGTGTAAGGAACTTCCAAAAATCCTCTGGCCATAGGATACTTTTGTCCCATAAAATCTGTTAAGATGCAGAAAAAATAAGGTAGGGGACAATCTTCAAAGAAGATAAATGAGCTTCATGGAGAATAGCATCAGGCTATGGATGCTAAGAAACTTCTCCCTTTCTTAGCCTTCCTGCTGTGGCAGTGGATATTATGTCCTGTAGATACTATAAAGAAGAGAATTTAGAGTGGCACAGCCAGCAGTTACAAGAGGCTGCAAAACCATGTCTGTACTGAACAGTCACATATGCCCCCACCCCAGCTTCGTAAACTTAAACAACTTCTTAGGGTTGCATTTGATTGTTTATATCACTCCACATTTCCTCCCATAGCTATGTGAACACACACCAAGGGCTAGTGTGTCAAACACTTAAGAAGATGGGCTCCTGCATTCAAGCCCAGTCCCATGACTTCCAGACTGAATGACATGGGCAAAGTGCTCAACTCTCTAAGCCTAGTTTCCTGGAAAAGCCTATGAAATGGAGATGACAATAGGAATTCTCCTTTTTTTTTTTTGACAGATCAACAGTTTTTTTTATTCCTCCTCCTCCTCCTCCTCCTCCTCCTCCTCCTCCTCCTCCTCCTCCTCTTCCTCTTTGTCTTCTTTATCCTCTTCCACCTTTTTCCGGGCAACTTTTGTGGGACCTTTTGCACCATCAAACTTCCCTTTAGACTTATAGTCAGCGACATCCTTCTCATACTTCTCCTTCAGCTTGGCTGCCTCGTTGTAAGGCTGCTTCTCGCTGTCACTTAAGTTATTCCACATGTCACTTAAGTTATTCCACATCTCCCGAGCTTCTTCGCCACATCTCCAATGGAGATTCCAGGGTTTGTCGATTTGCTCTTGGGGCGGAATTCCGAGCAGAAGAGGAAAAATCCAGATGGTGGTCTTTTGGGGGCATTAGGGTCCTTCTTCTTGCCTCCCTTAGCGGGTCCATAATCCTTCATTTCCCGATCATAGTGCACTTTATCTGCCTTGGCCATTTCATCAAATTTCAACTTCTCCTTTCCAGACATTGTCTTCCACCTCTCAGAGCACTTCTTGGAAAATTCAGCAAAATTGACAGGAACCTCCAGGTTTTTTCTTCTTATGTTTCTTCTTAAGTGTGAGGTTTATGTTTTTGGTTTATTTGGTTTTGGGGGCATAGGATTATATGTCCAATTGTTCCAGGACCATTTGTTGAAAAGACTTTGTTTTCCACTGAATTTCTTTTTATATCTTTGTCAAGAATCAATGAGCCAGATTGGTACGGGTCAATGTCTGGACTTTCTCTTCTCTTCCATTGATCTGTGAGTCTCTCCCTTTACCAATACCACATCATCAAAGTTACTGTAGCTTGTATCCATCTTAAAAATCTATTAGTGCGATTCCTCTAACTTTATTCTTCCTTTTCAAAATTATTTTAACTTTTCTACCAATTCTGCCTCTCCATATAAGATTTAGAATGAGCTAATATATACACAAGTGTTGTTGGGATTTTCATTAGAATTCCATTAAATCTATAAAGTTTAAGGAGAATCACGTATGATAGTGAGTCTTCTAAACCCTAAATGTGACTTGTCTCTCCATTTATTTACATCTGTGGCTTCTGTCATCAGCATTTCGTAGTCTAAGTATACAGATCCTGGACAAATTTTGTTGGATTTATAGCTAAGTATTTATTTTCTTGGAACTATTGTAAGTGGTATTGTTTTTCTAATTTTGGTTCCCAGTTGTTCCTTGCTGGTCTACAGAAATACAATTGATTTTTGTGTGTTTAAAAAAAAATTTCTTTCATTCAACAAATGGCCACCATTGCTGTTCCAGGCACTTGGCGGTGGAACAGAGAACAAACAAGATTGACAAAGTCCCTGCCTTCCTGGAGTTTACTGGAAGGGGAGGACTAGGGCTGAGCAGCAGAAAATAGGCACCTAAATAAATATATAACTAAACTCAGTGTTGGGGGCGGATGGGGGGCAGTGTCCTACTGGGTGCTCAGGGAAGGATGGCTGAGCAGGGGCATGTGAGCAGAGAGCTTGATGAGCAGAAGCCAGCCACTGGGAGCCCAGGGAGAAAAGCTGAATGGGCAGAAACCAAGTATCATCAAGTTCTGGGGGTGGCACAGCTTACGCGTTTATTGGAGGCTGAAGGAGTGGTAGGGAAATCCTCAACCTCAATAAACAGGGAAGAGCTGAGCTGCCGCCTTTGAGATTGAGGAGCACAGGGCGTGGGAGAGGATGAGGGATCAGCCCAGGAGACCAAGGGTCAGAGCCCAGGAGGGGGACTCTGGTTCTGGCAGTGGAGGGGGGTCTATGGCCATACCACCCTGAACGCGCCCAATCTCACCTGGCAGTGGAGGGGGGCAGCTTTTCAAAGAGGAGGGAGCAGTCAAGACAGTGAAGACTGAGAAAGTCTCTGGCCTTGAATGGCTTTGGAACCGCTCTCCGTTTACTCCTGGCTCTCCCTGAGCTGGTGAGGACAAGGGTCAAGCAGGGGTGGGCAAGTCCCTTCAGAAGAGGATGATTCAGCCTTCCCACAACAGACAGTGGTTTTTAGAAATCTGCTGAACTGGGACACCTGGGTGGCTCAGCTGGTTGACTGTAGGACTCTTGATTTTGCCTCAGGGCTGTGATCTCTGTCGTGAGATTGAGCCTCCACTCTCAGTGGAGGGCGGAGCACCCTCTGCCACTCCCCACCTAGTGCTCTCTCTCTCTCTCTCTCTCAAATAAGTAAATGTATCTTTAAAAAAAATCTACTGAATTAATTTGGGTTTCTGCCTATCTGGACTTACCTTTTGTGTGTATTTTTTTAACTAAATATTTTTATTGTAAAAATAATTCAGGTACAGTAAATCTGAAAATCCAGAAAAGTAGACAAAGGAAAAAACTATATTCCCATCACTCAGAGAGAGGCACTGCAAATATCTTGATGGTATTTCTTTTTTTTTTTTTTTGCTTTTACTTAACATTAGTCGAAATCATACCATACCTCCAATTTTATGTCCTGATTTTGCTTTTTTTAATTTTAAAGATTTTATTTATTTATTCATGAGGGAGAGAGAGAGAGAGAGAGGCAGAGACACAGGCAGAGGGAGAAGCAGGCTCCGTGCAGGGAGCACGACTGGGACTCCAGGATCCCAGGTCTCCAGGATCACGCCTGGGCAGAAGGTGGCGCTAAGCCGCTGAGCCACCCAGGCTGCTCTCAATGTTCTTTTTTATCTGCCAAAGAATATCCAGTTAACCCAGAACCCTTTCTTGAAAAAAAATCTTTTTTTCCCATAAATTGTAGGAGAATTTTGACATAAGTCAGATGACTATATATGTGTGGGTCTATTAATATTTTTTTTGTTTTTTGAGTGCTAATAAGTTTTTTAAAAATATTACACATTTGTCACAAAGATTTTGAAGTAGCATCTCTGAGGGTAGGATCTGGACACCTAGTTTTTAACAACTGCTCCCTGATTAGTGAGGAATCTGCTTCTCCCTTTACCTCTCACACTGCTTGTCCTCTCTCTCACTCTCTCTCAAATAAATAAAATCTTTAAAAAAAAACCCAACTAGGGATCCCTCGGTGGCGCAGCGGTTTAGCGCCTGCCTTTGGCCCAGGGCGTGATCCTGGAGACCCAGGATCGAATCCCACATCGGGCTCCTGGTGCATGGAGCCAGCTTCTCCCTCTGCCTGTGTCTCTGCCTCTCTCCCTCTCTCTCTCTCTGTGACTATCATAAATAAATAAAAATAAAAAAAAAACCCAACTATTCAAATGATTGCAATAAACACTAAAAAAAGTTACTGGACCACATTTAATGTAAGACTAATTATAAGGCCAACGCGAGTCAAAAGTCCTTGGAATCTTTACTTGTATCCATTTCTCTTTTGTTAAAATCCCTTCCTAATGTCCCAGTTTCATGACATAATTTTTGTAATCAAATTTAAACAGCTCTAAAGTATACCATTAATTACATTCTGCTTTAATTATAATGTTAATTGGTCCACATCTGCTAGCATGACACCTTTCACTGGGAAGTAGTAAAGTTAAGTATGCACTGCCAACCTCTTAATTCAAAAAAATTTTTTTAAAGATTTTATTTATTTATTTCTGAGAATACACAGAGAGGAGAGAGAGAAGCAGAGACCCAGGCAGAGGGAGAAGCAGGCGCCATGCAAGGAGCCTGACATGGGACTCCATCCCGGGTCTCCAGGATCAGGCCCTGGGCCGAAGGCGACGCTAAACTGCTTGAGCCACCCAGGCTGCCCCTTAATTCAAAATTTTTGCTAATGAAGTGAAAGCTTGTTGGGTGTCTATCTCCTGGTTGAGGTAAGCCTTACCATGCCTAGAATTAGTCTCTCATCCATGCAGAAGAATGACTACTTTTCAGCTCCATGTTGGATACCCTAAGTCTAAGAGAATGCCATTCTTCTGCATGGGTGGGAGCCTAGACCAGATAATTCTAGATACAGCAAAGCAATTTAGATCCAAATGAAGAAGCCCACATCTGCTGTCCCTCAGTCCTGGACTTTAGCTCAGGAAAGTCTGCCCTTTCTTTCCACTTTAGCACTGGGCCCTGAGGAAATTGCCCTGACCGTCATTATGACTTTGTTCACCCTGGGCTCGGTCGTCATCTTCCTGGAGGATGCTGTCTACCTATACAAGAATACCCGTTGCCCCATCAAGAGGAGGACTCTGCTCTGGGGCAGCTCTGCACCCACGGTAAGGGCCTTGTAGCTGCCCTTTGGGAGGAACTCAACAAGACAGAGGAACCATTTTGAGAATTTCTCTAAACTCAGCAATTCAAGTTGGCAAAGGGTTGCCTGCTTCTACCCTCTTAGAATGGGGAGTTGTAATGTGATTTCCATTTGCAGTCAGGACCCTTTACTTGGAAGGCCAACGGGCAGTGGGACAGGGAGCTTGAATTCGTAGAGCCAAGAGACAGCTGGAGAAGCTGCTCAGCCACCAGCAGCCCCACTCACTACTTTCCACCACAGTATTACTGTTAAAAGCAGGCTTCTTTCCTGGACAGGAAAGCAGTGTTCCTCAGAGGGGAAAGAGGGAAAGATTTTTTTTCCTCCATGGGGACATATTCAGCTCTCCCCTTACATAGTAGATCTTTTTAACTCACTCTCACAGACATTATATAGGTCTCTGGCTTGCTCCCAGGCCATAAGACTGGATTTCGTTTCCTCCGTGGTAAGGTCTGCGTGTGTGTCTGGGGTAGAGAATGGAGCCTGTGAGGTCCTTTTTTTTTTTTTTTTTTTTTTTTTTTTAGCAGAGGACACTCAAGTCCTCAGAGATGCTCTAGTAACATGCGATGTTGAAATGGAAAGGTTGGATCTTGACTCACTCCCTCCTAAAAATGAACTTACCTACACTACTCCAGGGATAGAGGATGAGATAGTCTTCAGAAGAGTGCGTGACTTGGAATGCCTGGGTGGCTCAGCAGTTGAGCATCTGCCTTCAGCTCAGAGCGTGATCCTGGAGTCCCAGGATCCAGTCCTGCATCGGGCTCCCTGCGAGGAGACTGCTTCTCCCTCTGCCTGTATCTGTCATGAATAAATAAGTAAAATAAAAATCTTAAAAAAAAAAAAGAGCACCTGACTTGAGGTGACCTGCTGTCTCTAATCCTAGATATAGAAGGAACTGACCACTGAATATTTTTTTTTTTTTTTTAGGATTTTATTTGGGGCACCTGGGTGGCTCAGTGGTTGAGTGTCTTCCTTTGCTCGGGTCCTGGGATCAAGTCCTGCATCAGGGTCCCTATAGGGAGCCTGCTTCTCCCTCTGCCTGCATCTCTGCCTCTCTCTCTCTCTCTCTGTGTGTGTGTGTGTCTCTCATGAATAAATAAACAAAATATTTCTTATTTATTCATGAGGGACACACAAGAGACAGAGACATGGGCAGAGGGAGAAGCAGGACCCCGGGGATCACCTTCTGAGCCGAAGGCAGATGCTCAATCACTGAGCCACCCAGGTGCTCCCTGAACACTGAATTAAAAATAAATAAATAAAAACAAACCCAAAACTTAAAAAAATTAGTTGATTTATTTTTCCAGCTGACCACTTTTAAGTAATGATGCCTTACGTGTTCAGGTTTTGCCTCCTTGAGCCCTTGCCACAAAAGGTTTGAGAGGGTGAGCACAGAGGCTCCCTTCTCACCACAACCAGCTTCTTGCTTCTCTCCAAGTAGGTGGTGTCTGTGTTCTGCTGTTTTGGTCTCTGGATCCCTCGTTCCCTCATGCTCGTGGAAATGGCCATAACCTCGTGAGTGTCCTGCCCCGCCCCCAGCTCTGAGCTGGGTACCCTTTTGCTCTGCATTCACCCAGGACTCCAGAGTCCATCTCTTCTTTTATCCCAGATCCCTTCCACAAATCCCTGCAACCACTGGGATGGAAACCTGCTAATCAGGTTCAACTTCTTGAACTTCTGGTGCTGTTCATCCCGTCAACCATTTTGCTCCTATGGGCCCCAATTCCCCTCTCTCTCAGCCCCTGGACCCTGTCCTCTCTCCCTCTTGCTGGGTCACATGGTCTGAATGCGTGAGCCCTACTGTGACCCCCTCAGTGAGCACCCCCTCTGTTGCACCCTTTCCAGTCTCTTGGTCTGTGGTGTCCTCTCAGCTGGCTGCCACCTCCCACTCTGTGAGGCCACCTCTGCTCCCACTCCAGGTTTTACTCGGTATGCTTTTACTTGATGATGATGGCCATGGTGGAAGGCTTTGGTGGGAAGGAGGCAGTACTGAGGACTCTGAAGGACACTCCGATGATGATCCACACAGGTCCCTGCTGCTGCTGTTGCCCCTGCTGCCCTCCACTCATGCTCACCAGGTAAGGTGGGAGGGAGAGGCTCCCTCAAAGAACAGGTTGGCCTCTACCTGCACTCTCCCAAGAGCCTCTCCGGCCCCCTCAGCCCTGCTTCAAGCCTCTTGGGATCAGGCTTGTATGGAACAAAGCTGGTGATGAAAGGGTGGGCATCCCATAGCCAACATCCATGCACTGGGCACCCGTCCAGGGGTGAGGAGGGTAGAGGGAGGAAAGAGAACTCCAATTTCCATCATTTAAGCTCACTGCTGCCTACAAACTTTAGCTACATGGAGTAAAGTGGACTTTGGTCTACATACTTGTCCCTGCTGCCCATTTTGGTTGATGAGGCTGGGGTCAACATTCTGATAGTTCCTGCTCAAAAGGCAGAATTCTGGTCTGGGGCTGAGGGGGAGGCAAGACGAGGGTTCCCAGTGTTTTCCACATTCCGGCTTCTTCCTATATCCCCATCCATTTAGCCATTTCGTTATCTATTATGGCAGCCAAGCCTCAGCTCAAGGAGCCCAGGTGAGGGAGGTGGAAGGTGTTCTTGAGGTGGGCAGTTTGTGGGTTCATGTTTCTAACTCTCCTTTTCCTTCAGGAAAAAGCTTCAACTGCTGATGTTAGGCCCATTCCAGTATGCCTTCTTCAAGATAACACTGAGCCTGGTGGGCCTGTTTCTCATCCCCGATGGCATCTATGACCCAGCAGATGTAAGCCAGGAGCAAGGGGCAGCAAAGTTCCAGACTCACTTAGTACCTCTGAGCTCTGGAAGGAAGAGCCAGAGCCAACATCCCCTGCAATGGGGCCCCATAGACAGGGGAGGCCCCGCAATGTGTGGTTGTGGAAAAGTAGAGGCTTGGAGACTCTGGTGGGGGAGAAGAGTGTGGAAAAGGCCAAGGCTTTGGGGCTTTTTTTTATTACCTTTCCCACTGTGGAAGAGGAGAAATAGGAGGAGGAGAAAAGGCTTGCCTCCCTCACGGACTACTTTCTGATCTGCCACCAGATTTCGGAGGGGAGCACAGCTCTGTGGATCAACACTGTGCTTGGTGTGTCCACCCTGTTGGCTCTCTGGGCCCTGGCCATCATTTTCCGTCAAGCCAAGATGCACCTGGGCGAGCAGAATATGGGAGCCAAATTTGCCCTCTTTCAGGTAATTATACCCTGAGAGGGAAAAGATGGGTAATTTTAGAGCTACGAACAATTAGGGTTAGGAGGTGAGACTAATAAAGACCAAAAGTGGGTCTGGGAATCTTAAGCCCAGGTTTTCTATGAGATTTAGAAAATGTCGCCTGTTCCTTCCCAGTTTTTGTTTTTCTATGCTGTAGTAGTTTCTTGGTGCTGCCCTCACAAAGTATCACAAACTGGGTGATTTAAAACAACAGAAATGTATTGTCTCACAGTTTTGGAGGCTAGGCGTCCAAAATCAAGGTGTCCACCAGGCCATGCTCCCTCTGAAACGATAGGGGAGATTTCTTCCTTGCCTCTTCCTGACTTCCAGCGGTTTGCCAGGAATCCCTGGCTGGCAGCTGCATCACTGATTTTGCCTCCATCACGACATGGCATGTGTCTTGTGTCTCTTTCTATCTTCTTATAAGGACAACAGTATATCAGAATAAAGATCCACTCTCCTCCAGCATGACGTCACCTTAACTAATGACACCTAATTATGTGGTTTCCAAATATGATCACATTATGTACTTAGGTACCGGGGGTTAGGACTTCAACATACCATTTCAGGGGACCCACTTCAACTCATAAAATGTGTCTTATCGACCTTAAATTCTTCTACCTTTCCTTTTCTTTTTTCTACCCAGTACTTCCTAAAGCTCTATAACTCATCATAGTTATGAACTACCCACACCACACGTTAGGGACTTTTCATACCTTACATCTAAATTTTCACAATAATCTTAGGAGTCATTATTATTTCTATGCCTTGCTCAAGGTACGTAGGTATGGGGCTAGAATTTAAACCTCCACCTGTCTGACTCCCAAATCCGCATTCCTTCTTATCACATTGCCTCTTCACCTGCACACCTCTTCTGAAAGTTCTCTACAAGGCATGTTTGTTCACTTTTGACACTTTCCATTCTCTAAGGCCAGAGAACTTTCACCAAGTGTGATGCCTTCTGGCCCAATCTTGTTTTCCTTCTCTCTCTATTCTTTCTGTTCCTTTGCTAGGCCCTTCTATTCCCATGGCCTAGTGACTGCGCTATAGTCAACAGTGTGATTTCACATAAATTCTCATTTGATCTATGCAGATGCCTCTGAAATGTGGATTTCTGGGGAAATAGTAGGTAGAATTGAAGAAGAGAGAGGCCAGAAGAGCCTAAATGAGACAGGGACTGAAAGGGCAGAAAGGACTGGGCCCCAGAAGCTCTTAGGGTCACGCCACAAGGTCAAAGCTCGGTGACTGCCGAGCCTGCCAGTGACTATCATGGGGAAGCCTGCACATGCTGAGTCTGCCTTGAAGAGGCTGATGCTTCAGAAAAGTGCACTCAGCGAGGGCAACTACTAAGACAAATGGTGTTGCTGGAGCCTCTGGACAGATTCTTTTTCTTATTGTATTAAAATACACGTAACATTAAAATATACATAAAATTTACCATTTTAACTTTTAAGTGTACATTTCAGTGGCATTAACTGCATTCACATTGTTGTTCAATCACCACCACCACCAACTTCCAGAATTTTTTTGCCTTCTACACAGAAACTCTGTACCCATTGAACATTAATTCCCCTTCCCCCTTCGGCCTAACCCTTGGCACGGTAGAGATTTTTCAAAGAGCACCTTCATGGCCAATTGCCCATCATTCGAGGAGCAGGGATCTCAGGTCCTTGAGCCAGATGGAAAGTCTTCTCTAACCATCTACCTTTTCACCCATTGAGTGACTATTAGTAGCCATGGCTGAGATAGGGAAATAAACATGGATCCCTGATTAGTCATTATTTCTTGTCACCAATTCTCATAAAATATTGGGTAGAGGACAAGACTGCAATTTGCCTACAGATTAAAACTCCACAAAATTTTACTCAAGTGAGTTTCAGCCCTCTGTAAGTACACAGACTGAAAGTCCAGCAGAATGGATTGTGGAGAGATAAGCACAGCAGAGGGGCAGCTGGCCCCAGTGTCACTGGTACTGGGCCAATCCTGCCCTTGTTTCTCTTCTGTTCTGCAGACACTCCTCATCCTGACTGCTCTGCAGCCATCCATCTTCTCAGTCTTGGCCAGCAGCGGGCAGATTGCTTGTTCACCTCCCTTTTCTTCTAAAATCAGGTCTCAAGGTGAGCATGTGACTTCCTCTCATTCCAGAATGAGAGAAGGGAGGGTCAGGGAAGAGATGACCTTAGAATAGAAGCTGGGCAAGCCTCGTTTCTGCTCAGAATACTCAGAAAGGGAAATCCTAGTGAGGTTATAAGAAACAGTGACTTCTCTGACCACACAGAGGAGACCAGCAATCCCATAGCTTGAGGCCAGTCCTCATGCGCAACCCAGGAACCATCCTCAGCTTCTGGGAGAGTAATGGGTAGGGTCTGAAAGCAGAAAGTTATACTGATTGGGGTGCCTGGGTGGCTCAGTTGGTTAAGTGCATCTGACTCATGACTTCAGGGTTGTGGGATCAAGCTCCATGTTGGGCTCCACACAAGCATGGAACCCACTTGGGGTTCTCTCTCTCTCTCCATCTGTCCCCCCACTCACTTTCTCTCTCTCTAAAAAAAAGGTCACGCTGATAAAACACACCAAAAAATGGGGCTTAATGCTAGCCTCAGACTGCAGAAGTTAAAGCCAAGTTCTGGTTCTGGCTCTACCATTAATCTGCTATGTTACTTATGAAAGCTTAATATCTCTAGGCTTGGTTTGAGGACAAATTGGAGAAAGTGTTGCTCAACTCATATGCCAGGGCTACTAGTGGGATACCATCTATACAATTTAGCATAATTCATATCATATTTCATTGCATGCTACAGTGATGAACTGCCACCTGCTCGTATTGGAGACTTTTCTAATGACTGTGCTTACACGTGTGTACTACCGAAGGAAAGACAGTAAGGTTGGATATGAGCCTTTCTCTTCCTCAGACCTGGATTTGACCTCAAAGTCCAAGATGGATGGTTTGGACATTGAAAGAGACTCTACACATTAAATGGGCACAGGATTTCCTCACTGTCCCTCAACCTTGACCAAATGGAGATGAATTCATTTTCAGCACCAGCTGGCAGATTACATTTGACTAAAGGGGCAAAGGAGAATTATGGAATAGGAATTCCATAATAATAGGCAATTATTTTGGATCTTGCCTGGAGAAGTTATTTTAAGTTTTATTATAAACAGGATAGAGTTTAAAATTCTATAATTGCATACATTGCCTCTGTGGGTGATACTATTAGCCTTTGATGCTTATATATTGAAAAGTCACTCTGAATTTTCCCAAAGCCAACAAAGGGGAGAAAGTATACAGTAGTTTGTCTGTTATAAGAACAGGAACAGAAGTCAACCAGGCAAACCTCTGTTTATTGTAGCATTATTTACAATAACCAAGACACAGAAGCTACCTAAGTGTCTATCAATAGATGAACAGATAAGGAAATGTGGTATGTGTGTGTATGTGTGTATATATATATATGTATATATATATGTGTATATATATATAATGGAATATTACATAGTCATGAAAAATGATGAGATTGTGCCATTTGAGACAACGTGGATAGACCTGGGGGGATATTATACTAAGTGAAATGAGTCAGCCTGAGATAGACAAATACTATGATGCCACTCATAAATGGAATCTAATAGAAAATGAGTAAACAAACAAAAAGCAGAATCAGAACTCTAAATACAGAGAGTTGATGGTTGCCAGAAGGGAGGGGGTAGGGAGCTGGGCAAAATGGGTGAAGAGGAGTAGGAGATTCAGGCCTCCAGCTGTGGAATGAATTAGTCATAAGAATAGAGTATAAGGAATACAGTCAATGAGGGGCACCTGGGTGGCTCAGTCAGTTTAACATCTGACTCTTGAGTTTGGCTCAGGTCACAATCTCAGGGTCATGAGACAGAGCCCTACATCGGGCTCCATGCTAAGTGCAAAGTCTGCTTAACACTACTCCCTCTCCCTACGCATATATGCATATTCCCTCTCTCTCAAATAAATAAAATCCTAAAAAAAAAAAAGGACTATAGTGTATTATATTGTAATAGCAGTGCAATGGGACAGTTGGTAGCTATACTTGTGGTGAACATAGCACAACGTATAAACTTGTCAAATCACTAAGTTGTACTCCAGAAACTAATGTAAATAGTGTGTCAACTAAAAAAATCCAAAAAAACAAAAAGCCAACTTAACCAGGTAAAAGTAGTACAAACCTAAAGTCTCAAAAGAAAGCAGACTTTTGAAGAACAGATGGAAGGTATTCTTTCCCTTACAGATGTGTCATTAGGGCACTGATGACATTACACCTCATAGATCTAGATCAGCTTCCCTTTGAGGGATGATGGCTTTTTGAGCCTTCTGTGCAAAGCTGCAAAAGGATTTCCCTGATAGGGCAGCCCCGGCAGCGCAGCGGTTTAGCGCCGCCTGCAGCCCAGGGTGTGATCCTGGAGACCCTGGATCGAGTCCCACGTCTCTGCATGGAGAGTCCCTGCATGGAGCCTGCTTCTCCCTCTGCCTGTGTCTGCCTCTCATTCTCTCTCTGTGTCTCTATGAATAAATAAAATCATTAAAAAAAAAAGGATTCCCGATAATATGGTCATGGAATAGTTTTGAAGAAGATAAATTAGGATGCAAAAGCAAAGGAACTGAGAGTATAGGTAAAGGCCCCAAATACATAAAACATATACACATGTATACCAGGTCAGAAACACAGGAAATGGAACATTAGGTAAAACCACTTTGCCTTTATTTGGCTAAATGACAAAGGCCAAAATAACTGAACCAATTAATAACACTCACATGTAAAACAATATACTGAACACCGATTGAGGAAAACGCCCTGTGGATGCTGGCACTGGGGGTGGGGCTAACATTCACACCAAGGCCAGCGTTTCTTCCCAACAGCTTTTTTTTTTCAGGATAATCAATACAAAAAACCACCCAACCAATCAAGTCTCTGTGTTTAAAACAGTCAGTGCCCCCCTAAGAAGGGTGGGAAACCCCTTTTTAAACCTAGAGGAACACAACCTGAGTCATCCTAGTGTTAAACCTAGCACTTTTTTGTTTTCTACCCCAATCTGAGTATTAACGTAAAACTTTGGCAGACAGAAAATCTTTCTTCTTTCTTTTAAAGAAAATTAACATTTAATAGTATAATCCCAAGAACATGTTCTACTTAATTGGAAAAATAGAAGCTAGGGACCACTCTTTATTCCACAACAATCTATTCTATGAGCGAAAACAAGAACAATCATCGTATGACTTTGAAAAATACAACCTTTAAAAATACTTATATTGGTAAGCTTAAAAAAAATCACCATTAGTTAAAAACATTGTTAAGGGAGCTTTTTTTCCTACCTGTATTAGTTCCACTTCTGGTGAAAGTGTGAGCTGACAGAAAATGTAGACACTATGTATGGCTTTTAGGGAATTAAAGAAAAGCAGCAAAATAGAATTGATTTGGAAGGATTTTAGACAGGAGATCTGAAATGGTAAAAAAGACAATGAGCTCAGAATAACAAAAGCTACACAAATCAAGATAACCCAGGGACACAAAAACACTGTGAAGAACCATCACAGAGGGAACATCCCGAGGCCGCCTGACCAGTTGTGTGATCCCAAGTAAACTAAGAAAAATCTAAACAGGTGCTGGGTTATCAGCAATCAGAAAATGTCAATAAGTTCTCTTGACCTCCTTCATATTTTTTCTTATTTAGGATCTTCAACCTCCTCATATCTCCAACCTTCTTCCTCAAGCCTCAGCGAAATAACGGTCTTTGGCGCTGGCTACCAGAGACAGCTGCAGCAGACAATCTGTCTCTACTCCTCTAAAGTTTCAATCTCTATTCATTAGTGTTACTAGTTAGTATAAGAGAAGAGCAAACTTTCTGCCCAGCCATCTCAAGGTAACTGAAGTGGCACTTCTTCAGTGCCAGCTGCAGTGCCTGTCTCCATTTTTCTGTCTTGCAAACTGAGCTCTGAAGCCAACCAGTGTTTAAGGCTCCCCCATCTCTGCTACATTTGGCCTATTGCTTTGTGTGGGGGATTCAGGGAAATAGCTAATTAATAGTAATATTAGAAATCAGTATTAACAGTTAATATTAAAATTAATATTAGAAGATTTACAGATCACAGGCATGGTCATGGTAGGCAAACCACTAACTTCATTTAATTAGGCACAAATGATCAAATAATGCATTATCCCAACAGCTTCCTCCCTCCACCTATCCTTGGCTAGCACCTAAGATCACATTTATCCCAAAGTAGCGCATGTGCCACACCATTAAAGTTTGACAGCTTGAAGTCAAAATTATTTGAAGATGCACTAGTGTTAGAGGAGCGTGAGGCCAGAGAGGTTCACCACAAGGGGTGAGAGGGCTTTCCAAGAACATGTGCACATGCGGGCCGGGCAGTCTCACAGAGCTGATCAACACAGCGGTTATACTCCAAGAGCAGCGAATGCCAAAAGTAACCCACGGACAGAGCGGGGCAGCAGTCCCAGACAGTAGACTTGAGAGGAGTGACGTGCAGGGAGGAAAACCACATTCTGAGCATCTCCCCTGCCAAATACACTTGGCTAATATGTTCTTTGAGGGAACAGGTAGGTGAGCTTCAGTGATGACTTCCTCACCTTTCTGTACGAGGGAGAATAAAGCAGAAATACGCAGAATTCCCAAAGAGGGAAGACTGAAGCAGAGAAGTTAAAGTATGTGATCCTATGAAGCTGGTTAATGTAGGAAAACAGGGCAGCCCCGGTGGCACAGCGGTTTAGCGCCGCCTGCAGCCCAGGGCGTGATCCTGGAGACCCGGGATCGAGTCCCACGTCAGGCTCTCTGTGTGGTGCCTGCTTCTCCCTGTCTGTCTCTGCCTCTCTCTCTCTCTCTCTGTCTCTATGAATAAATAAAATAAAATCTTAAAAAAAATGTAGGAAAACAGTGATTTAAACTGTTCCCAAAAAAGGATTCCAAGCCAAAGCTCGTGTAAACTAAATCAGATTTGATAGCAAAGATAGCACTTCATACGAAGAATCAGAAATGTAGTTTCCTAAGCCACCATGACAACTAGAGATTTCCCTCTCCTATGTCTCTCTACTCTCTGGGTGATCAGAGTTTCAGGAAAGTAGGTAATCCTGCTGTGCAGGCAGGCAGTGCCTCTGATCCTCAGGCAGAAGAGCAGGTTTTACCAGAGTATTTAGGGAGGAGGCTATGAGATGCTCACAGCTCTAGCAGAGGGGCAAAAAAAGATAAAATGTGGTTTTCTTAGCTGAAAACACCAAAACTCCACCCCCACAAGGGGTATTTATGAGTGACAGGGTGGGGCCTGGACATAAGCAATTTTCCCCTGAACATAGCTACAAGATTATTGAAGATAGTCTGCTCGGTCATGTAGCTGCAGGATGCCAGAGGCTTAAAATGAGCTCACGATCAACTGCCAAGTGTGAAGCTTAGTATTTCTGATGTGAAGAATCCCCCTGGGCAACCTAACAGGGGAAGTGGGACCATAACCAGTAGGCACAAGCGGGAAAGCAAGAGAACCTGCCGTACTCTTGTATGTGAACCCATGCTTTGTGGCCTGCTCAGCGGCAGCAGAGGGACGTCCCTGTCAGCTGCAACTCTCAGAGGAAAAGAAACGTGACCTGGAGCACTAGTTCTAGTCAAAAACATTCTTGAGAGGGACAGAGTTCAAGATAAGGCTTTGGAAAGGGAGGTGTTTCCTTATAATTTTGTGTTTAAATTCTGTGCAAATCTAAATATTCAACATGGCTTTGAGCAACATGGATTAACAGATCATATCCAAACTGCAGACATTTACAAAGCATCCTCTGTAGAAAGCTAGGTAATAAGCATTGAAATTGCAGGGCCAGGGACTTACTCCCAAATGGGAAAATTAATCTAACCTGACCCTGTATAGGATTGAGTATCGTCCCACTCTCCTCCCCAATCACAATAAACCTGAAAGTGTTCCTTCCTTCAAAGGTAGACTATAGGAAAGAGATTGACAAGAGCTCCCAAATAACTGGGCAACAGAGTTTTCTGAGAAGATGAACACAGCAGAAAACCGCAGCTGATGCCATGTGGTCTGGTTCCATCCCCAT